GATGACTTATAGTTTCTTATTTGACGTAAAACAGAGCACAAAAGTTAGACAAGTCTCCCTCCTATCTTTATAACACTTTGCTAATATTCATCATGACGAAATCTACACATTATAGGCGTCCAATCATAGGAATAACGCGTTAAAAACGTTACTGAAGTATTTGCGAAGCACCACAAAAAAAAGAGATAGACTATTGCTGTTCTATAGAGAGTGATAAGATTTCAAGTCTCTAACTACTAATTTCTATTCTTTAACTCTAATTGTCACTAACGTTGTCATTCGTGTTCTGATAATATGAATAAGAAGTGAAGGACAGATTCTAGATCTTTTAACTACGGCGAACAAAGAGACGTGCATCCTTTTATTAATTCAATAAAACAACAGCAGGTGGGAGTGAATAAACAGATTACGTGACACTCGTATCTACATTGGTGCCTTGAGTATTAATATAACTACTATACAGTTATTTCAGACAAACTAAACTAACTCATCAGAGTTACTAAAGGAATTCTACACATATGTTGGTGAATTAGAAATGAGTTGATGATTGTAAAAAAGAAAATTAATGAAACTACTTCAGAACATATGAACATACTGAGTCAAAATTGTTTTCTATGTAGAGAAGAATTGTATGACACAATAAAAGTCAAGGGAAGTCATAAGTTGCGTTACCTAAGTTTATAAGGTTACAAGATAGCGACATAGATTGTGTCGCTAATATAAGAAATAACGGTATACAAATGATATGAATTACATTATACAGGCATATAATCTGCTCCTGATTGGNGTTCAAAACATCAGTGGTTCCTATACTATTGTCCCGAAAAAAAATTAGTTGTTAGCAGTTATCTGCCAAATAATATGAATAGCTGCCAGTAGCAGGTAACTTCAAGATTGTTTAAAAAAAGTAGATTCCAGGAGAAAAGACATGGAGGAGGATTCAAAATGGCTGCCTGCTACTTTTGAAAACGTTAAAAATTGATTTTATTTGGTTTGCCTTGTTCTATAAAGTCGGTTTCAAAAATTACCCTGAATATCAACTTAGATACGTAAATCCTACGTTTTGTTCGAATCTGTTTTTTTTAAAAAAGTTATTGATAAATTTCGAGCTCAAATTCGACGAAAACAACTTCTCATATCGACATTCTAGAGATTTCAATTTTTGAAAATCTTTAGTAATCAGTAACTCCAGATTTGACGAATCAAGGTGACTTTTTCATGTTTTATAGATCACCGGCGCCCATATTTGATGGAGCAAGTGATCGTTGATGAGGACAACGCTATCTCTTCCATTACCCATGTAAACTTGCGCGGCATTATGTCGCACAATGCGGACGATTTGCGCATAATTGTGCGCAACTGCAGTCTTGCATGAACTGCACGAATGTGCACAATTGTGTTTGTGACAGTGTGGATGTGCTGTTGTAATCACAGTTGTGATCCTGCGCATCAACAGTGCAAATGTGCGCAGTTTTCACTTGTGCAGGAAGTATTAAAAGATCGACGATATGGGTACAGACTGGTAGTCACTACAAATGATAAACGTTTTTCCAACCCATTTTTTAACAGCTTGGAAAGTTCTTAGCTCTATGGACTCCTTAACTCATGTCGGTTTTATTGATTCTTTTATCTAAAAAAGTGTTGAGCGCATTCATAGAGTAATACACATCTTAGCAATTTGGTTTAGTGATCAGTCACTAATGCATTTAGCATACGTTTTAAACACTTTTCTCAAATGCAATTCTTTGGATGCAATCGTTTGTGTTACATAAAAGTAAAGCATAAAATCAACAGATTTACATAGCAGGAAAAAAACAAATGAACTACGAAACATTTTAAGAAATGAAAAACACCAATCAATCGTTATTTCTCGGAAAATCTCACCATAGTATCAGTAACCCAACAGTTATTTGTCTGCTGAGCGTATTTCAGCTGATTTTTAGAAAAATATTACTGTACATACGACTTTGGTACTTGTGATCTGAGATCTTTTTAGAATAATCTCAATTACCTGCTATCTTTCTTTCAGATTCACTTTTACTCTTCCCATCGGCTTCATTTCTCTTGCGCAACTGTGTGCTACATGCGTAGAAAAAGTTTTCTAACAGAAAAGCCCTTCGATTTTTCGATGACAATCTAACGTTATAAAAACTAGTACTATCTGTATCATAATGTAATTATAACAGTCAAAAGTAGTGAACTCATTAAGTTGGTGATTAAACGATGATTTTTTTAATATTTTAGATAGTCATGGGTAAAAAGAAACATCAGGAGTACGAGTTTGGCGGTGGAAAAAAAGTAAGCAAAAATAATCGTAGTGGTTCGTCAAAAACAAAAAAAAACAAAGATTTTCAAAAAGTCAAACTTCGAGCCGGCAAATTTAGACCAAAAAATTTGAATGAAACTAAATTACAATTTCAAACAAGATCCATTTTCATTCGTGAACAAATAGCAAAAGATTATAATACGGAAAAAATCGATGTAAGTGTAATAGTGAGATTTGTCCGGGATGTTATTTGCAATTAGTGGTTTCTTTAGGAAATTATTATTCGTTTACATCATGGTACAGTAGCACATAAATTAACTGTACTCGATACACTTAAACAACGATTAAATAATGATCCGTCAACATGGATGAATTCGTCAGATAATTTAATTGACAGCACAACATCATTATTATCCAATGAACATGTTAGTCTTTATCGCTCGAGTTTAGAATGTTTAAAACTAATATTAAATCGTATACAATCATCAAATACTGATCCTTTAGCTCCATTTATACCGTTAGTTTGTCAACGTCTTATATCATTGATCACAAATATAAACGATGATATTCGTGAACGTTCATTACCTTTTCTGGAATTGTTATTACAACATTATTCATCAACAAACAAAAATAATGCTCTGTCATCTCAATCATTGGCAGTTTTAGAAAGTTTATTACAACAAATGACAAAAATGACACGTTCGGATCAAAAATTCATAGTTAATATCGAAACAGCAACGTCAAAAACATCATCATCAAAAAATTGGCATTCAAGAATGTTAGAAGCAATTTATGAATTAGTTGAAATCTATTTTAATAAAAATCAAATTGAAAACAATAGCTATGATCAAATTAACAGTTTAGAACAGCAACAAGAAAATAAACAAATGATTAAGTTATATGATTCATTCAGATATTCAGAATCAAAACCATTTAGAGCAATGTGAGTTTACGTGTTTTTTCACTTATCATTTACTTCAAAATCCAGAAAATATGATAGACTTGCATTAGAATAATTAAACTTTCTTTGTTTTTTAGCGATAATCTATTTCAAGATCGTTCTGATTTGCCAAAATTTTCTCGTGTTATTGATTTATTAGTGAATGTTTTATTACAATATTGGTCTGAAATGCGTATACATCTTCATGAACGTCAACATTATCGAGATGCACTATTATCAATGTGGTTATGTATGAAAATATTAAGTAAAATTATGTTACCATCATCAACAGATTTAAATTCACTCTATTATCAATATGATATTAAACAGCTTATTGCCAAACACGCATCCCAATTAAAAAAATATTTATTAAAAAATTTTCCATTTGATGAACAATTATACGGTGATTTTAATACTCAAAATTTGAAAGAAAATGTAACAATAAGACGATTAAATATAAAAATAATTGATGTTTTATCGATTTATTTTCCTGTTGAAAATGTACAACAAACAAAAGAGACATTGCTACCAAAACAATTTGTTACAATGATTAATTACATGTTTGATTTGTTGCAAAAAAGAAACTTAACGGATAATGAAGCGCGAGATACGTTGATGTTTGTCGAAAAATGTATTACAGCATTTCAAGATGATGGTAACTATTTGACATGAGTCTTATAAACAACTGAAAAGAAATGCACTCACCTCTCCGTGTGTCTCAAGATTAACGAGGGAATATTCCCAAATGTTTGCTCGTTTATTTCTTGAAATCTACTTGATTATAGATTAGTTTTGATGCTATTCATGAATATGTTATCCATTTCGGTTGGTACAGTCTTTCCAGGTAGATCGCTAAAAAATTGATCTCCGCAGATCCACTCTAGATTCCATGTTTTTTACCTGCAGAAAAAATATTCAAGAGCTCTTGACCAGTTTTTCAATAAATCACAGAAAATTTACTTAATGCATTCACTGTACAAAAAGCCGTAAATTATACTTGTGTAAGAAATCAAACATTAAATTTCCTGTGGTTCATTAAAAAATTGATCGATAGTTCTTGAATATTTTTTCTGAAGGTAACTCAATGAGCTCTACAAACTAGTTGGACCACAATATATTTATTCATCATGGAATTTAGAGTGGATCTGCGGAAGTCAGTTTTTCAGAGATCTATCTGAAAAAGCTGTACCAATCAAAATGGATAACATATTCGTGACCCTTCGTAAATCTAAACTTTCTTTTTAAAAAGCTTTAACAATTTCAGTCAGTACCTAATACATTTTTGTGTACCGTATAAAGTAAGAATGAATTTGTACAACTCGGTGCGTACTTTGTCATTCATATTGCTATGAGAGCAGAAATATTTTCAGTAAAAAAGAGAAACTATTTTCGCTAATAAATTAGTACTACTAATGTATCGATGAGAAACATGAAAACAGAATATTTAACAGAATACTTTTTCCTTCTAGAGTTGACTACTAAATCAATCGAAGGAATCAAATTCTATTTGCAATTATCAACACATTCACTTCGTACACATTACGTTGCATTTCGTATTCTATGCGATTGCATAAGACAACAATTATTTAAAAAATTAAATTCGTAAGTGGTTATTATTTGTTTGTGTATTGAGATTTTCATTTAAAAATTGATTTTTTATTTCCTTGTAGTAATTCAGATTTACCTGCTAACGAAATGGTATGGTTTGTAGTTCAAGTTATACGCTCATCAGAAGATGTATTTAATGAAAATGAAAAAGAAATTATTTTACGACAAATGACTCAAATATTTACATATAGATTAGAACAATTTTCAAAATTATTCACTGAAATATCGTTAGACTATTTTGGTAAGAGCAAATATTTTTGACACTAAAACAATGGATTTAAATTATTTTTATTTTTATTTTTTTTTAGCCATTTTAAAAACATCAAAAGGTGTTCAACAACATTTATTAATAACATGGTTCGATGGTCTTTCACCAAATCAAACGTTAGATTCATCGGTATTTTTGAGAATTCAACAATACGTTCAATGGGAAATACTTGAATATCAAAGTTTACAACAATTTTTATCTATCATCTTTAGACAATATGATGTGTACGGCACTCAGTATTGCTCATTAGATGAACTTTCACTATTTTTACATCAATTAATGTTTTCATATAAACTAGATGGTTATGTATCAACAGAAAATATTAAAAATAATGAATATGAATATGGTTTAAAATTTGTTAAACGAACAGAGGTATGTGAATACTAAACACTAAACTCGTATGAAAATTTTGAAAAAAAAATGATAGTCATTAATAGCTAAGAAATGAATTTAAAGAAATATTTTTCTTGTATATCAACACAATCAAATGTAAAGAATCATACATAGTTTAAGAAATTATTGTGAAACTTACGTATAATTGGTATAACTTACGGATGGCCCAGAAATAATGACACACTTTTGCAACTTATTTTCTTGCACTTAACTGGAATTTTAAGACGCAATTCTTAAGCTCATTTGATAGAGAATTTTCTGCTCTACAAAATCCTTCTTTCATTACATATTATTTTATTATCTAAAAAGATTGTGTAGAGTAAGGACACGTAAAAACTATAACTGCGATTTACTATTAAAATTTTGATACCTTTTTGGCTTTTGTGTAATTTTTCGAGAAATAATATGGTAACTGAGAAAAGAAGGTGGTATAAAAATGTTGAACGGATTGAGGACTATCATCCAGACTACGCTGCTTTTGCGTTTCATCACTTAAACTGTAAATATTTTATTGAACAAGTTACTTTCTGACAACGTAAGATTTTGAAAAATGCAGGGAAAGGACTATTCAAACGACACTGTGTAAGTGTGCGATATAGAGAGTTTTGTAGAACAGAAAATCTTTTGTTTTTTGATGTCAGAACGAATTCTTGGAAACATACGATATACAGACAAAAATTGGGACGTCAATAACCCTATAATCTTAGCACCATTTGTTGTTAGTGGCTAAATGTTAGAAAAAATATTATTTTTTAATGTGAATTAATTAAATCAAGACTATTTCCTTACGCATAGCACCTATGACAGACAGCTGACATAAACATTATTAATTAATCAATTACGTCGAATACAAAAATAAATACAAGCTGTTCCATTCGTCGCAGTTCTAGTTTTTACGTGTCCTTACTCTATACAATCTTTTTAGATAATAAAATAATATGTAATGAAAGAAGGATTTTGTAGAGCAGAAAATTTTCTCTATCAAATGAGCTTAAGAATTGAGTCTTAAAATTTCAGTTAAGTGCACGAAAATAAGTTGCAAAAGTGTGTCATTATTTCTGGGCCATCCGTTAGATGTGAAAACTACACAATGAGTTTTATAACATCATTTAATAAAATATTCTCTTTTTCAGAAGCAATTTAATTGAATATTTATCGAGATTTGTTTAATTGAAGTCTATCAATCAATTTTTATTTTTATTTTAGGCAATTGTTAACAAGTTACAAACATTGAAAAGTAATCACGATGATCTATTTACAGCATTATGGACACGGCTTGCAAATGATTTAGTATGTTATACGCTGTTATCTCTTCTTTTCTTTTTGGAATTGAAACATTGAGTTGAATCTTTTTTTTTGTTTGATCACTATCTGTATGTGTTATACTTGTCCTTTCCTCATTTAAATATTAATTGTTAGTTCATCTCTTTTTTAGACAAGATCTAGCAAAACATTGAAATGGTTTGAATGGTGTGCGATTTATCTGCTATATTCTATTGATCAGTGGATTGGTCCAAATACTTCTATTCAAACTCAAATGGGTGCACAATTTATTAATGTAATTAAAAAATGTATTACTTACGGTATTATTGAACAACACAAGTCTCAAAATAGTTATAAGAATGAAACAGAATATTTGTATCATTTAATATTGAAATGTATACGTCAGTCAGATGATTTGAAAATTTTATTAAACAAATGTCTTGAATTTGTTCAAGAACAAGAAATATGGGCAATTTGTAAGGCTATATTGTGTGGTAATTAAGAAATATGTACTATTTACTTTATTACGTTCATACGTCATTGATTTGTTATTCTTTTGTTCAGTCTTTTTTCGCTTATTTGTTGCAATAAAATTGTTCTAACCTTTTGATATGAAGAAATATTTGTGATTAATGCAAGCTTTAATCTATGAACAATGTCACAGAAAACATTTTGTTCATAAGTATAAGATTTGGATTCAAAACTAATTATAGAGCTTTAGGAATTGATTGGTTAGCACACTTCATGGAAATGTTGAGACGTAGTAGAAAAATTTAGAGAAAAAGGAGTTTATATTGATCAGTGCTGTCAATGATGGTCTGTCTTACTGTACCATATTCTACCAACAGTTGTGAGAAATGAGCTTCATCTAGTTACACTTGTAGAACGAAATGCGAATATGAGAAGATTTTAAGCGCCAACAAGTAATGAATCCGTCATACTCTTTCTGATAATCTTTTATAAGCCATGACAATTGACAAGAATAAATATAATGATCATTTTGTGACACTCAGAAATTATTATTGATCAACAATGAACATTACTTTTACGCCAAGAAATACACACACGATATTAAATTGGTTATATTATTTTACATCGTTTTGCTGATTAAATTAAATTAATCAAGTGAACTATTTGATAATCATTAATTGTTCACAGCTCTTTTCATCAGTCCACTATTTATTTTCGAATTATATCTCAAATTATTAAAATATTTAACATTCTTTAAAATTACTATGCTTCTCCTAGTAACAGCATTTACAAGCTTGTTAAATTTTGCGCTATTTTCAACATTTTCATATCCATCGCCACTTTTTCGTGATTTATCAGCAAATTCTCAAGAAAAACATCCAATATCAACACCAATACCCCAACAGTGCACACTATTTCTATTCTACTTGACAAAACAAACAACAACAATAAAAAAAGCACTATTTCACGTTAAAACCGACATGCGTGAATATCGTTTAAAACGAAACTCTGATCCTCTTTCGTCTTTTCACGAACGACAGAATAATTTAACAAAACAATTTGAACGAGCACATCAAATGTTACAAAATCTAAAAGATTTTGTTACTTTGGGTCACTTTATCCAAATGAATAATGAAGAAGATAAGAAAGGCAATGATGAACGACATTATAATAACTATATTATTCCATTTCTAAAATTAAATAAAACACGTAAAGAGATGCGATCAATTGTTGATGTCTTATTTCAAGAAGGAAATAATTATGGTAATCAACTATTTGCAAATAGAATGTTATTATAAAAAAGTAAAATATAATAAAAAGTTTATAAAGACAAAAATTGCTAATACAATTAAAAAATAATTGAAACGAAAACAAGAACAAATTTTTTCAATTAATGATAAAATAACCTTCTTCAATAGTGGTATTTTTTCTCATACAAAAAAAGTATACATCATTATGTGCTTGAGTATACATCAGAGTTCCGTATGGACTGGACTAAGTCCTTTTGAAATCACTTGAATCGAGGAAAAATAGGTTGTGGACTCAGAATTTTGAAGCTCTGGTATACATCATCGTTTCCTTGTTTATAGCAGTATACTGAAGAAAAATGTAAGATTCACAACGATAAGTTCAATTAGAAAAAAAATTAATATTTAATTGAATTTTAAGTTTGGAGAAATCGAAAAAGATTGAGAGAATCTACTCATTTAATATTACTTCTTCCTTGGTTATAAATTATTCTTGTTTCGTCTTCAAAGATACATTTATCCTTAATCCGTATACAACACAAGATATAGGCATCGTCTACTTTATCATAATCGTATTCAGAGTAAACTTTCAAAACTGATTCAAAAAGTTTGTGCCAGACTCTACAAGTACTATTCTCTACGTAAATCTAATCATAAGCCAACAAAAATAAAAGAAATAGAGGATGAAATTTGTATACAATTTAATCGTTTAATTTTTTGAGTGTGTACATATTAATACCATTTTTAGATAATTTTATGATGTAGTTTTTATTTTCACTTTTATTAACAACTATCTTCGCCAGTTTGTTGCATCTAACGAATAAATTTTTCAACAAAAATACATCATAGTCCTTTTAAATTGACTGATTCTATTGCATTTTACATACTATTAGCGTATGTTATAATATTCTCATCGTTGGTGAATTCGAACAATGTGTTTCAATTATCAACAGTGTATATTGTCGATCAGTAGAAATGAATACCTTCGATAAAGATATTACTGAATCAATTTTAAGAGATTTTAAATCATATTGTTTTATATTATTTATGACTACGTACATTATCAAACAAATATAATAAATTAAAATATCTTGGCTTGTTCTTTTTCTTTGATCTAACATGGACTGTTCATGTTGAAAAGATGTGTGGAAAAGCAAATTCGATTGTCGACTTGATGAGTTATTATAAATGGTGGTTGCGAAAATGTCGTGAAAGTTGTTTAGAAATCATTTGTTTTAACACTGTTTGATTACGGAAGCGCCATCTATTCACTGACAACCAATACTAATTTGAAGAAACTTGAAACTATGCAATATCACTCGACGATGGTAGTTTTGGGTGCCTTGAAGGGAACGTCATGTAAAAGATTGCTGACTATTTTGGCCCTGAAATGATTTTCAAATCTCTCGATTAATAACATTTGCTAAAATAATTCATGCCCTCACACTTGAGCATTTGACAATTCATGTACATCAACGTCCACAAAAGATTTACCACAAATTGAGAATCAACATACATAATCGAGTGAAAGCGACGAGTATAAACACTCAAGATTTCTTCACAATCACAACTAGAGAATGGAATGAGGTAGTGGGATCATCTCTTCAATATCAAAATACTAAAATAAAACAACGATGAGAGACGATACAACAGAAATTTCTAGCTAAACGAAATAATGCTCCATTTTAAAAACAATTGTTTTTTCCAAATAGGATAGCTAAAATTCTTTTTATGCGTCTTAAAGTCAATGTTTCATAATCAAATTATTATCTACCATACATAAACGTAAATACATTTCTTCATCTGACTGTGGGTGTGGAAGAGTGGCAGAAACGATCGATCATTTCTTTCATCACTGTCCATTATATACACAGCATCGAAAAAAACTAAATAATTTTAGCGTAAAATGAAACAGAATAAAATGGGAAAACATTTTGAACAAAGTGGTAAAAATGCAGATTGTTAAGATTATAGATAAAATGAAAAAAGCAATTACATGTAAATGAATAGTCTATGTAAAATATATTTGAAATATCATTTTTTCCAGCAAATGAAATGACAGATGAATTGAATACCTACAATGAAGATGATATTGATTATAAATTGTTAACATGTTCATTTTATCAATTTGCAATATTGAATAAACACACAGACAGACTTGATTACGTTTTGTTTGACAACAAGAGAGTGCTTGCTCTCATGCAGTTAAACTCTATCTATGATTTTATTTTGTCAAATATGTCCCATATGGTGAGTACACATCTAAGTAGAACTGCTGGTATAAATAGTAGAATATACCAGAACGTCGTTATTAGTTTTGATGGTAAAATAGTCGATAGTAAATTTTCTAACTGGGTATGTGTCATATCTTCGCTATTACTATTGTCAATACGATATTTTGCTAATTGACATTTTTTATCTAAATTTAATTGTGCTTTTATACGTTTTGTTGCTTGTTCATCATTTAGTTGATCACGCTGTTTTAATCGTTGTTTTTGTGTATTTTCATCACAATAAATGACAACAGTATTGGATAGATAACGATTTAAACCTACTTCAAATAATAATGGAATATCCCAGACAATTATCGAATATCCACAAAAAAAAAAATATAATAATTGTTTTAAACTCTCACGACGAATATAACTATGTGTACATTGATTTAATTGTCGACGTAAATTTTCATCACTAAATATAATATCACCCAAACGTTTTCGATCAATCATTTTACTCGTATTATCAATAATATTTAGATGACCAAATTTCTTCAAAACTTTTTTGTAAGCTGGTAAACCAGGTTGAACAACTTGACGTGCGATTCGATCAGCATCAATTATTGGAATACCTTGTAAATGAAAATATTGACTGGCGATAGATTTTCCAGTAGCAATTCCTCCAGTTAGACCCAAAATAAGCATTTCTAAAGTGTAAAAGTTGTTTTTAGTTAGTAATTTTTATCAAATATTTGGGAACATTAAACATAACATAGTTTTTTAATTTATCAACTATATAAAACATTTAAAAGCAAAAAAAAATAAAATTTAATATAAATACTAGACAAAAAAACAATAATGCAGACGAGACGTCGAAACATTTGAACGAGGAATGAGGGAATGCTATTTTAAATAAATAAACAAACAAATTAACACAAACAACAAAAGAGTTGTGAGACATGAGAATATGTACATGATCGCTATAAAATTTTTCAATCATTGAAAAGCATTCAGTAGAAGAGAAACGTTGACGATAATCCTAATATTTCTTTGAGTTTTGATTTTTCAAACGTGAATTTGAAATATAGAATATTCGCAGAGTTTGAAATACTATTTCAGAATAACGGCCATTTCACCTCCTAATGTGATTCTGATACGTTTTGTAAAATTCGTAATGCATGAATTGTATAATCTATCGAGTTGCGGAACATCTTATTCTGTAGTTTAAACATTTCTCTTTAAAACGACAGTCAAACGGATGAACAATGCTTTAGAAATAAACCACTTTATTAAAAAATGGCTGCTCTTTGACAAATTTCTCCTGTTTATTGAGTCATTGACTAAGCTTTGCTTGACTATCATTTTAAATAAAAAATGTTTAGGCTATAAAATAAGATGTTCCACAACTCGATAGATTATACAATTCACGCGTTACGAATTTTACAAAACGTGTCGAAATCACGCAAAAGTAGACCGTTAAGTGGAATGGTCAATAAACAACTATCTAATAAAAAAATAGCTGTTCTTCGTGAGGAAACGTCATATTAGTCATTATATTTTAAACATTCAATTTATTAAATAGAAAAATGGTCAAACAAAAAAAAATAAAATAAAAACATTAATGTAAAATAACACTGTGGTATTTTTATTCTTCTGCACTAAAACCTTGTTTTTCTCCACGAACAAGTTGATTTTTTAATTCTTCTTTTGTTCGTTCCTCTAATTCTCTTATATCATTCATTGTTAATCCATACCATTCATCCATCCAACAAAATAATTGTCGATGAAAATTACGAAATAAACGTTGTTCTTGTTTCATGATAAAATCTTGTACTCTTGTTCCAATACCAAACCATTTAAAATGAACACGTACTAATTTATAACAACACATGAGTGGTTGACAATTTTTCTGCCATTCACCAATTAATGGTCCACGTCCCGTTTTAATTGATTTAAATTTTGTAGGATCTTCTTTAGGTTTATAGTCATTTGCTGATACAGGATCAGCTATATTTATAACAACAATTTTTCGACGATCATAATCTTTTTTTCCTAATTGATGTACATTATCTTGAAAACAATCAGTTCTTGAATCGTATACGTGTGGTAAATGTAGTGTTGATATATCAATGTACATTGCATCTTTCATATAAGCACTTGTTAAAACCTATAACAAACATTAACAAATGATATGATAGATCGTAGATAAATGATTAAAATATTCTCACCGTTTTACAATATGGATATGCATTATGAGCTTCTTCATGTAAATCAAATGCATCTGGTGAACTAACAAGTGCTTTTACAAAACCTGGTACACGATCTCTTAAATGATATATTTTATGTGTATATTGTCCTTTATTAAATTTTTCTAAAAATGCTGCTGACATCGGTTTTTCAAATGGTTCATTTTTAATTACTTCTACACCTTCACCACCACCTGTATTCTGTTTTGAACATTCAGCTGTCGACCATAATTGTGCCAATTGATATTCTTCAACGGTTAATGGTAGAACAATACGAAATTCTGTTATATGATCATCGTGAACTTTTGCCATTTGTTCAGGAGTTGGACCTGGTATTCGACCTTGAGCATGACTGTGTTTATGTGAATGTGCCATTTTGTATATGGATTGTTTGCTTGTCTAAGATTGTCGTAGATATGAATAGAAAAGAATAGTTGTCTTTCAATTGTATAAAATTAAATCTAGAAAATAAACAACAAATAGTTGAACTTTCACATATATGAAACAGCATAATATTTTATAGTGAAGTTAGTGATATCTCTCTTCTTTTCAATCTCCTTTCTTATATGTGAGAAGAGATACTTGTTTGATAAGCCAACATTTTGTATGGAATACTACTGCAAATATGGATGTGGTTGGGTAATAGAACGTGCTCATTTTTTTATCACTTGATAACAGAAAAATTGCAAAAATCATTTTAATTCCTAAAAGTCAGAAAGATGTTCTCAGTTGACAATACTCTTCGATCAATAAACATGAAATACCTCCTGAAAAAAAACAATATTACTTCATTTCACGATATTTTCCTCATTTCATTCTTCATTTTAAAAACACAATCATTCATAGAAAATAAAAAAAAGACACTATCCGCCAAAGTAGACTGCTTAACAACATTCATTAAGTTAAAGTGTGTCATAAGTATCTCAACAGACGAACAAATTTTTAGTACCATCGAATAATCCTTTTTTACTTAACTTTAATCTGTCGAACTTTATCTCAATGTATCTATCAGGATTTAATTATTGAAAGAAGAGCGAAGAATAACTGAAACACATTAAGCTGATAGAGAACAAGTCTTTCGAGAACAAATACTACTGTTATACTGTCAAACAAATCTCTCATATTTTTAACATCTCGCAAAAAATAAAAAACGATGATTTAAGAATAGATTCTTCGAAAATAAAAAATCGAAGAAGAGACAAGTATCAAAAACCGAATAAAGAGACTTGTTTCTCATCGTTTAGAAAAATCATAAAAATATGTGAATATGAATGATATTACCTAGAATGAGGGAAGTTTATTGTCTAGTACTTCTGACTCGAATATAGTTTCCATAGAATAATACTCTCAGTTGAACAACATATAGAATTTATCTGAGCCACTCAAAAATTCAGTGAAAATAGAAATTCTAAATGACTAAGTAGTTTTTAACATTCTTATCCAGCATACGGTATATAGACGACCGTTCCATTCTATCCATATATCATTATAGATGTGCATTTTAAAAATATCGAATATAAAAATGCAAGCATAGAGTATGTGCGTATGTTTTCAAGAAAAAAAATAACCATTTTATAAGTAAATAAGATAATCACATTTTTATGCGAGAAACAAAGAAAATAAACTATTTTTCAAAGGCTATACGAAAGTAAAAAAATAGATGAATACTGAATGAATGAGCATTATTTTTTTCTTTTTATATACCAATCAAAACAAACATATGTAGTAAATAGTGAATTAATGCTATTCGTTATTTCTATTTTTTTTGGTGATTATCGACTATAAAGAAAAGAAATAAAGACAAAGACAGTCATTCAACAAACAGAACACAAATGGATTTTTTCATTACTATATTTCTGAAAGAAAATAAATCCTAAAGGCATCAACTTTTTAAATAAGTTTGAATACTTCAAAAACTTTATATTTCGTTAGACTACGTATCTGCAGTGTGCTCACCACAGAGCAGATATGAGCTATGGCCCATCTATTGAAAGATTTGTACCTGTAGTCTCTTCCAGGAGAAAATATTTTTTCTATACATAAAAATAATTAGAATTTTCACCAATGGGGAAAAAGTACCTTTTTTAGTATAGCATCTTTTCGGCACACAAAACTTCTGATTTAGTCTATCAGAGGGAGTCAACCTTTTGCTTACTTTTCCTGCGGCTAAACGTGATATAGAGAATTAATATTTCAATACTTTCTAGAGCTGTCAGGATATATTCATTACAGCAAAATTAAATCAGAAAGTATTCAGATAAAAAACAATTTATATACGTCTTTTTAGTAAATTAAATCAATCAAGCATCTTTTATGTAACTTAGAAGAAAAAAAAAACAAAAGAGAGAAAAAATTCGTGCAGTGTGTGATTCGATCCCACAACCTTATGTTTTGCAAGGCAGTTACTACTTTCCTTGATTTTTACCCTAGCAAAATTCCTCAGTAGAATGCTGAGATTATCAAGACATTTTCTGTGGTTATAAAAAATATTTAATTGAAGAAAGGAAAACGTAACTGAATAATACGCACTATAAAACAGTTCAAACAGCTCAGAGATGTAAATGCTGGAGATAGGATGGCAGATGACAAACTTTCTCTATTTTTGGAAGTTTTCGTTTTTTTACACGCAGAATGATTTCAATTTTGCTTAAATAAGATCACTCAGCGAAAACAATATTTCACGCTTCTCGCAGATTTTTCCCAAAAATTGTACAAAAAATTCTTTCTTTTGCTCTGAACATCCAGATACACTTCTGCAATCAGACAACATAAATATATACTTGGAAATCAGATTTTACCTGAACAAATAGCCTCTGTGCATTATGTTTACAACATCAGTAGAAAAAATTTAATACATATTCTATGGAATAAATGCCAGTAAAAGTGTTTCTATTTACCAAACCCTGCTGCATTACAGGAAATGTTTCTACCTCTAAAAGTTCTTTGCTTAAACGTCCATATTGGCTTCTGCCCTCTATAGACATTTTCTCCAATGTCGTGTCAACGCCTTTAGCTGAAGACGCAAAACGGAAATAAATTGTCTTGTTTTGTTTTCATTATAGAAAATGAAAAGTACGTTGATTCTGTTTATTGTTTCTTTTTTTTTCATGTGAACAGACAGTACATGATCAAAACAAAAAACAACAAATGACAGTGTGAATAACAAAACGAAACAAAATTTGTTACGTTATTATTTTTATATTTTCTACCATCCTGCGGTTGCGTTTGATGCTGCAGTCCACTCGCTCGCTGGTGCTGGTGCTGGTGTTACCTCAGGTGCATTTGTATTACTACCCCAATTGTCACCTGATGAACCCCAGTTCTCTTGATGGCCTGAGAAACCTTCTAAAAAAAGAAAAAGATCGATTCACTTCTTTAAATAAACGTTCCTAGTTAGCCAAGAAATATAATGAAGTACTAACCAGTATTTGGCATGATTTGCGCATCGTTATCAAAATAACTGTCGGCAGCGTGCTGTAATTGTGTATCACCTTCATTTCCACCCGCTAATACTTGTTCTTCTTTATCAGCCTATAGAGAATGATTGAATAAATTCATATTTTTGTCATACAAAATAGTTAAAAGAGTAAAGCAAATTCAGTGTATTAAGTCGCCACATAGTGAGAACAAATTTAATAAATTCATCACAGAGATAGACGTTGCAACAACGTTTTCGATACAAGTTTTGGGAGAGAATGGAAAGTCCGCTGAGTAACCGAAGTTTTTTTGAATAATCCATGTTTTGAGTTAAATCTTTTTCTGAGTAACTGCATCTTTTAAACTAATTTAAGACTGGAAATGAGGGGATGGTGGATTTCCACCCCTTATTCGAAAACGCTGCGCTGAAAAACTCCGAGGTTTCAGAAGCTAAGAAAAAAAAGAAGCGCTTACCTCTTCCGGATCACGATAGAAAAATAAATCAACCATAACATCCCACGGTATTTGACGATTAATATCACCCCGTAAACGAAGTACTTCACGTGCAAGAAACCACCACATTAAACCGATTGATTTAATTGTCTGAAATCAACGTGAAAACAGGTTAGTTATTTTAACTTATTTAACTATTTGAATAATTTGTCTTACCTTGTTGTTGCATGGTATAACAATATCGATAAAACGTAATGGTGTGTTTGGATCACAAAAACCAATAACAGGTATATTAACAAACGACGCTTCGCTTACAGCTTGATGATCGACATGTGGATCAGTAACAACAATCAGACGTGGTTCCTTGAATGCTGCTTGAATTTGATTTGTAAATGAACCAGGTGTAAAACGTCCGGCTAGAATAAATAAAAAGATCCGTTGATTATTTTATTTCATAAAAAAGTCAATTAATTCCTAAATGCATTACTGATTTTACGAAAAAAATATTCTGAATCTCTTAGTTGGACTGTAATATCATTATGATAAATTTTATCGGAATCACTCGAAATGAATCTGCTTTTAAAGTCTTACCAATTGGAGTTGCTCCAGTATACTTGGCATATTTTAATACGGCGCGTTGACCTAGAATTAACCATAGACTAATAGTTCAAAAGTACTCAGAGACCCTAATAAATATAATCAAATACCTTGTGGACGACAACTAATTACACAAACATCAGCTGGATTTTCTACTGCTACAATAGCACGTGCAGCTAACATAAGTTTTTCCCATAATTTTCGGATGTTAACGATGGATGAGCCTGAAAATAAACAAAAAACAAACGTTATCCAAAAAAACAACTTAAATTTTTTCAAAAAAATACCTTCATTTTTTGGTTTCTTTTTCCATACATATTGTTCCATTTGAAAATCAACATCTTTTGAACCAATATGTGCTCCAGCAGCGAGTATTTTCAGCACATCTTCTTCTTGTAACTGAAGCCTTTGGTAACCAGATGTCATTTTTATATCTAGATCTAAAACACAACGAAAGTTCACTCGAAGAAGCACCTCAAACAGTATATACATGAGTTATCGAAACCATTTTTCATGATGAGGTGTTTGTGTCAACAAAATGAACATCTATGTTTCTTTATACTTAGAGAAACAGAACATAGTGTGCACAATAAACTTTAAATTTGGATTTACATTTTATTCTTAACATGCCTTTTGGCATACCGCTTTGAATGAGAAAACTTAAGTCTATTTGCTTGCTAAAATACATATGAGTTATATCATATCTACATTTTAGAGAGCTATTGGCGCGCAAGTGGAAACAGAGACACGCATCAGTTTGCTGTCGAAAAAACAGCAAAATGAATAAACAAAATGCCTTTTTGCACTTAGAGGAAGATAAAACCAGAGGTATCAGTACTTTACCATAGAAATATTTTGTTTTTCTCCTGTGATGTTTAATCTATCTTTGTGAGCACTGGTAGTTACTGCCTTTAGATCAATGTTTTTAATGGCACAATGTTTCGAGATTTTCAAAATTAAAGCTGCACTCTTCTTAAAAGTTTACGAAAAAAGTTATAGTGCACCATGTAACCTTTGAAAATTAGATTTGCGTTTGTTTGCTTAGGAAAATTTCTGGAAATCTAAAAGAAGTCATGTAAACTTATGAACACAAATGAGCCATTAGTGAAGTTTAGAGAACAAGCAGACAGAAATGCTTTGTGAATTTCTTATGTGTATAATTGATTCCATCAACTGTTAACGGACAAAATCAATGAAGTTCATAGATCAAAGACCGAAAACTGAAGAGAGATTTGTGCAACTATATATATGTTACGTGGCAAAAGCATTTCTTATTCCTAATTCTCAACAATAAGACAAGAAATGCTCGCAGTTATTCCAATACAAATTAAAAGATTACTATAGAAAAAAGAATTGCACGATCTTTACGTTGTTTGTCGCAAACTTTTCTGTTTAGTGGAACTTCAAAGATGTAGATTGGAATGTAATTTCTTACTTTACATATTGGAATAAATAAATAAATAAATGAACGATCATATCAAAGATCCAGCAGCAAATCGGTACAATCAACGTAAAAAATAAAAAATACTGCATTGATTGTGGAGCCTAGCTCCTAACTTTGGATCCCTGCCTGATGCATCTCAATCTAAACCATTGAATGGTCATGCGCCATGCTTGATTTGTTCTTACTACGGCCTCCACATTTTTAACAATCCTTCTAGTGTTTGAAGTGCAAAAAGTCATGTTCTATGCTTTTCTTTCGAACATTAGTTCACAAAATTTCTAATGAACTAAATAATTCCAGCACATCTATAATATATGCGCACGAGATGTCGCGGTGAGTAGAGCGAAAGATCAGGAGAACATATGTAGTCAAGACTTCATGAAACAACTTAAAGTCATCGCACGCCCAATACATTATTTTGTCAGGGAAGTGACATGAATAATCCCTTCCGAAATAGAATGTAAATGTTGTATGATTTTTTCGAATATTTCAGGCTTTATAGATACAGTTATCTGACATCTCTGACGATCCGCTTCTTGCACAGGTCAATACGAAATATCAGGATTGTCCTACGCATGTTTGGCGTAAAGGTTTTACGAAGAACGCGTCAGTAGATTCTCTCACACAACTATTCAATATCTATAAAGAATGTGTAAAGTTAGATTCGCGCGATGCACTCTAGTGAATGTACTTGATTACTTGCCGAGTGCTTGGGAAGCATTTGAACAAGAACTTAGCAAATGTTTTTCCTTTCCAAGTTCTTGTCTAAGTACTGGCCAAGTATCACCTTTTTGTTTCGCCTTGACAAGTTGTATATAAACGTCACAATATGTCTGATGTCGATGTGTGTTGAGTCAGCTAAGTGCTTGGACAAGTAAGTACTTGACGGGTAAATCAAAGTACTTGTAAGCAAAATTACTTGTGGAGAACCGCTAGAGACTGCCTTCATTACTTGTACAAAGCACTTTTGGGTGCTTCCACACAGGTCCCACTTTATACAGAACATCTTGCCGCGAAAATTTCACTTTATCCATCGTTCTCTTAAACGCTTCGAAAAATTTTCGAGATTTTTTCAGGATAGAAACTACTTAGTAGGATCTATAAATTTGCTCATACAACTATCCTCAACACTTTCCATTTTTCACCCTCAGTTTTCTAGAAAACCCGTTAAAACCTTACTTCATGAAAAGAAAATTGAGCTATTATGACTCTATATTCCTGTTCAGCATGAAGAATTCAATGTACAGGGTTGCGAGAAATGTTTTGCCCGGGGGCTATAGCTCCAATGACAAACGATATCAATATTGAATTTTATACCAAATGAAAGCTCGTGAAAAATGGGGTTAACAGGTACAGTTAATAATCCGATAGACTATTGTCACCTATATAGAACGAAGTGAATTTCTCGATACAGGCGAGATAAAGGCGAATCCTGGACCGGTCAATATTTTCGTGACACAGTTTTAGTTCAACACGTGTTTCCTTTCTTGAAAAATGAAGAAAACGTGATTGACGTGGATGAAGGCATATTTGTTCACAACAAAGCACCGTGTAGGAAAGCAAATCTGACTCAACAATTGATAAAAGACAACAATATCAAGTTTTGAGGTAACAATATTATATTTATAGATCCTACTAAGTAGTTTCTATCCTGAAAAA